TAAATGCGTATTTGCTGAATGCTGACGGCAAACAAGAAAGTATTATAATGTTTGCCTTTCTAATACTAATAATATAAAAGCAATCGTTATAATACTTTTTGTATACATTAATTCCTTTGTTTAACCGTTCTATCTGATTATTAAACAGACTTCTATCCGTATTAGACAGAACTGTTAACAACGACGGCGAACAAGAGGGAGAATGTGAGCACTGTGTGCTCAGGCGCTGCCACTCTCAGCGCCATCAAAATAAAAGTCCCGCATCGAACGCATCGGCCAAACAGAAAAACTTATCGGCCAATGCCGATATTTGAAAAATGCCAAATATCGGCCCATATATCGGCCTTTGCGATATATCGGTCGACCACTAGTTTTGATCTTGTTGATCATTTAATCTTGTGTATCAAATAGGCATGGGCCGGTATGAGATTTTGATGGTATGATAACCTTAAGCAAAAATATCACGGTTTCACGGTATCACGGTATTGTCGTTACAGCTCTAAAATTTTATTTTTAAATGACTGGGTAAAAAAAAAAAAAAACTTTTCATATAAACCCCCAAATCAATATTGAGGATTTTCTTCCAATAGTTCGTGCATCATGAACAGTGAGTGATCTGCCTGCTACAGTATTTTTCTCTGTGCATCCGTCTTCAACGTCTCTGGCCTGTGTTAACGTTCTGTGTTAGAACGTTAATGAAGTGTTAATGTGTTAGTAGGCCTGTGTTAATGAAGTCCTGTGTTACAGACTTCATATTTTCACATAAATTACATTTTGGAAAACGATTGCATTGCAACGCAGTTTGTGCAAGTCCAGAACAGAGACGAGTTGCTTGCAATATGACAAAAAACGGCCGGTTGCGATCGCGTAAGTTCCAGGGGCAGCTCCTGAAGTTCGTCCATCCTACACACACACGTGACTGACCGCTCGCTCGCACCAACAGGAGGAGGAGGGTCGTGTTACTCGTGTCTACACTGCACTCAACCTGAGGGATTACTACACTTTCAGTCTTTGAGGAAACATGAAAAACAGCGCATACTACAGGAACGGTATAACGGAAAATATTAGCGGTTTTGAAACCGTGAAATCGCGGCATACCTTGGAACCAGTAATCGGCCCATGCCTAGTATCAAATATAATACAGTTGGCTTTATAGGGTTCATTCATTGGATCTATGTGCATGTGAATAACCTGTGTTTGTTTTTGTGTGTTCAGGCCACCCCTCAGCAGATCCCCATCTCCCTGCACACGTCTCTACAGGCTCAGGCTCAGCTGGGTCTGCGAGGAGCTCTGCCTGTCTCTCAGTCTCAAGAGATGTTCAACTCTATCCCTCCCTTCAGGTAATTCACCCGCCTCAGTCACGGTCACTATCGTTCAATTTCATTCAGTATTCATCTGCTGCATTTCTACACTAATTAAGTCCCTTGCCATTGCAAAGAGTTTCTCTTAAAACACAGAACTGTTGGTATCAATAACTGCTGTATATTGCTTCTTCTACACTGACATACAGTCTAGAGAATATGGACAAAGACAAAAAAGAATACTTTTCTACTGTATTGTACACTAGTGTTGTTGTCATAACAAAAATTTCAGTAGTCAGTGTCAATTCAAGTAAAATTTCACTCTTATTGGTACCATAGTGTGTAAACTGTTGGACCACGCTTCCTTTTAATTATTTAACTATTTAAAATCAAAATCATATAAAAATTGAAGTATTAATGCTAATAAACAAAGTAAATTATGCATTACAAAATAGCATGTAGCTTTAAAATATTTTTCATTTAAGTGAAAATAGGTTTTCATTACTGATATTTAACTTTTTTTTTTAAAGCAAAGATCCAAAAAATATAGAACAAAGAGTGTTAATAGTAACTTACTGTAGAGGCTTATTAAAGCTACTAAACAAATTTAGCCACGACTGATTTAATGCACAGTTTCAGGAGTGAATCATGGAATGACAATTTAGTGGATTTACTGGAATAAATCCAGAGATTGACTGATAATCGGTTTAAGTGTAGATGTCAGTGATAATCTGTTTAAGTGTAAAGAGAGACTGATAAATGATTTAAGTATAGAGAGAGACAGATAATCTGTTTAAATGTAGAGATTGACTGTAATTGGTTTAAGTGTACTGTAGAGATAGACAGATAATAAGTTTAAGAGTAGAATCGATTATCGGTCTATCTCTACACTTAAACCGATTATCGTCTATCTCTATGCTTAAACCGTTGATAGGTCTAAGTGTAGAGATTGACAGTAATTGTTTTAAGTGTAGAGAGAGGAAGATAATCAGTTTTACCGACATATTTTCCAGTATTTAAACTTTTTTCCTTGATCGGATATTGGTTATGTAATATCTGATCCTCTTATAAATGTTAAATCTCATTGAGTCTGCTCTAAGCTGGTGAAATTGGCCACACTAATAATGCTGGGCTTCCTCTACTTTTGTGATCATCTGAGTGCTCTCACGTTCTCCTCTGTTACAGGTCTCAGGTGTACATGCACCCAAACCTGTCTCAGCCCAGTCCCATGGTGCTCTCTGGTGGAGCTCCTCTCAAAGGGCCTTACTCTGCATTTCCTGGCATGCAGCCGTCAGACATGGTCAAACCACAGTCTGGGTCTCACTACCAGCCCATGAATGGCAGCCAGCCGCTGGTGTATGATGGGTCTATGAATCAGGCGGCTGGGATGGGCACGTCACAGCTCATGGACTCACAGCTCATTCAGGCAAGTTCTGTGCAAGCCATAAACCTACATAAACACATATGCAGTTATAAAAGTAAAATGATTTGGGTCAGGCATTAGTATGCAGTCAGCAGCTTCAAATGCAGTTTGAATTCGCTTTATTCAGAATTTATAGTTCAAGGCCGTGTACATTGACTGATTGCTGTGTTTTTTCAGGTGACGATGCCCATGCCTGGATCTCAGCTGCGCTACGGCTCGGCCCAGCAGCACCTCATCCTGCCCCAGTCCATCCAGCTCCAGCAGAACCAGAACTTGTCTGTGGGAGCTCCACGCCGCATGATGCCTCCTGGATCCCAGCCGACCGTTATGAGTGGCAGCAGGGAGGTGAGAGTCTGTGCTTCAGGAAATTACTGCCCTCAAATATCTTCCTGCGTGTTATTGACACACTTCTCTGATAAATCATGTTCTTTCTGCAACCTTCCCAGATGGACTTGAAGGGATTTCAGTTCTCTGATAAGCCCAACCACTCACCTGGAATACCCAGCGGCTCCTACAGGTGAGCGGAGGTGTTGGTGTTGGTCTTCATCTTCGCCGACTTGGTGGTAGTGTTTGGATGTTTTATCAGTTAAATTCATAAAACAATTTGATAATTTAACAGTAATTGTGTCCTATGCAATGCTTTTTTCAGTAATTCTGTGTTGAAACAAGTTAATCTTTAAAAATAATCAAATTAAATTTGAACAGTTCCTTTCCTTTTTTTTGATGGTGTTGTGCATCAAAGGTTTACTGTTAAAATTAAAACCGATGGAAAAATTAGAAAAAGTGAATTTTATTGTAAAAAGTAAAGTTTATTGGAAAAGTATATTTTATTGTACAACAGAAATATATTTTTATTTCTTCAGTTTAAGCCAGTCTTTCATTTTGGTGGGTTGTAATTGGTTGTAATGTAAAGAAATTACATAATTTGTGGGCAGACTTGCTTTTGATTTATTCATCCACAATTTGATACATTTTGAGATTTTCCATGTTGAGACATTCCATACTGTAAATTCCTCTTGATGACTGAATTCAGCAATTCTATACACGTTTCTGCTTTGCGGGAGTCATAAAGGGGCCGTTGTGTCAAATGCTGTCAATTTAAAGGGATAGTTCACCCAAAAATTAAAATTTGATGTTTATCTGCTTACCCCCAGGGCATCCAAGATGTAGGTGACTTTGTTTCTTCAGTAGAACACATATGATGATTTTTAACTCCAACCGTTGCAGTCTATCAGTCGTATAATGCATGGCAATGGTAACAAAATCTATGAGAGTAAAAAAAACATGCACAGACAAATCCAAATTAAACCCTACGGCTCGTGACGACACATTGATGTCCTAAGACACCAAACGATCGGTTTGTGCCAGAAACCAAACAGTATTTATATCATTTTTTACCTATAATACAACACTATGTCCAACTTCCTTGAGCGCCCACACGGCATCCGGTGCGTGAGGTGTGTACGCGCTCTGGCGTAGTTTACGCAAGCGCCGGAAGTGATCTCTCGCGCGTATACGTCACTCATTGTTTACACAATGCACAGTCATTGTAGGTACGACGGCTAATCAAAATGGTACTTACTTGCGCTTATCCGGATTGTTCAAACCGACTTAAAACTAAAAGATTACGTTCTCTCACGCGAACTCATTCGGGAGTGGTGACTTTCCACGTATTCCCAACTTCTGAGCCTGCTCGCCTGAAGTTATGGTTGATTGCTCTTCGGCTGGATATCAACACACCCATTAACGTAAACTACGCCAGAGCGCGTACACACCTCACGCACCGGATGCCGTGCACGCGC